CGACCAAGAACGGCAAGGACGTCTCGTCACAACACGCCAAGATATATCCCAAGAAACTCAAGGGTGACGCAGAGAGCAAAGATGGCGAAGAGGATCTCTTCGGCGAGGCGGCGGCTGACGACGAGGGAGGGGACCCTGATGCAGACAACCCCTACGACTTCCGACACTTCTTGAGCAAGGAGAAGGAGAAACGGGGCGACGAGTCCGAATACAAATACGCGTCTTCGCCAGACTACCGCACAGGCACAGGCAGCGCCGTCAATACACCTCAGTTCGGGGCCCGCGCCTCTGCGACTGCTGCTCCAGCGCGGAAGGCTGCCGCTATACCAGCGCCCAAGAAGCGCAAGACAGCGGCCACGAACCCCATGGTAAAGCCCAAGAAGACGCAAGCCACACCAGCCGTCCGCCTCCAGCGCACCGCAACCGACACAACACCAAAGCCCAAAGCCAAGCCCGCAGCACCGCCAGCGTCGAGAATCAAATCCTCCGAAGTCATACACTCGTCTGACGAATCCGACGGCGAAGCAGCTTCCTCGCCAGCACATCCATCGCCACCTCGCCAACAACATCAGCAACACCACGAGTCCGACGACGACGACGACGACGACGCAGAGGGCGAGTCAGACGATGACGGTGGCCTCGAGATCGAAGTGCCCGACGCACGCCCACCACGACACAACAAGGGCGCAATGGCATCTCTCGGCTCAAATCTCAATGCAGGTTACCTCCGCTCCCCCTCCAACGGCCCGATATCCCTCGCCAGCGCCGCCAACAGCGATGGTGAAGGCTCGCCGAACCCCCGCCGCAATCGCAACGCTCAAGACGAGATCGACTTTGGTGATCTGGGCGGCGATGATGCAGAAGGTGAGGATGATGATGAGGACGATTACAACAGAGACATTGAACCTATGGACATTGGTCCACCTGCGCGACAGGAGACGGCAGGTCATGACCGCAAGTCCAGCATGGCTGGTGAAGCGGCAGCAGCCGACGACGATGAGGACGATCTTGAGGAGCTTATGAGGAGAGGTTTGATGGGCGGGGACAGCAGTGAAGAGAGTGAGGAGGAGTGAACACGCCATTATGGTTCTGCCGTCTATCTACTTGGTGGTCCATCTCCCTGTTCCATCGCATGCACGAGGACGACTATGCTTGGTTGTGACGGCTGAGCGATCAAATCGCTCTGCCTGGACGATCTTCCGCGTCGTTTCTGGAAGCCTCGCGCGCCAATGGTGACTCCGACGTTGAGTAAACCATCGCTTCGACCGGCGCAGGCTGCAATACCACTTCCGCCGTCTTCACTGGATGTTGATGCTCGATCTCCCGGTACTGCTGTACAAGATTGAAGGGAGCGCATATAGCACACCACAGGTCCTTCCGCCTATTGCCTTCCAGTCCGTATTTCTCCCGAAGGCGCCCTCGGTTACGGAAAGGCAGCACGATGCATAACAAGCAATAAGACCCACAACAGGTCAGACAGCAACATCCCCAACACTATATGTTTCTGGTCAGCGTGGACTCAATGTCAGGGAGCAAGGATAACTCGCGGGTCCGTTGCAGGAAGCCTTCCAACAATTGTACCCTTCCATGTTTCCTTCATGGTCCTGTTGGTACCGGATTTTGCCGTACAGAACCCATGGACAGCAGCATGCGAGCCAGCCTGTGCAAACCCATCAGTTTGTATTCATACTAGAAGATGAGAACCCGTACCTGTGCTAGCTGGAGTACAGCAGTTACGCCAGCTCTGGTTCCACTCTGCCATGGTAGTGTTGTACTTAGGTTATTGCGCTGGTGAGGATATTGAGAGATTGGTAGTAGAGCGATACATCTACACTGATGAAGAATATAAACCTTCTATGACTCCGTCCTGCGCTCGAATCTCGTTGATGACTGGAATATTGTGCGACGTTGCCATGTTGGTCTGCTTCGTCACAAAGTCTGAGCGCCGTATGTGCTCGAGCAGTGACAGAACCAATAAGGAAACAGTGCAGTCCCCTTGAAAGTGCTATCCTTGTGGCTGTAAGGGGGACGGTCAAATACTAGCGGTAGCATTCTTGTCAAACAGGTCATAACTGCAGTTTCTCATGGTAATCTGTGAATGGGTGGTGAACGGTCTTGGTTCTGTATAAGTATAACACCGAGATAGCTTCTCTTAGTATTCTATTACTCTAATCCTACATGCAAAGCTGGACCAACGGTTTTTTCGTCCAAATATATACTCGAATCATTAAACATAGTCTTCCGTGAAGTCTTCATCAAAATCCATCAAGGTCGGAGACGCGTGACAAGGTGGTGATGCTCTAAAAACGCGACGTGGAAAGCATTCAGAGCCAAGCGAAAACGGCCATAACACCCGCAAGCAGCGCACCCATTCCCTTGAGCTCTTTGCCCAGGGCATCCGCCGCAGCACCGGTGGAAGGGGGCGCGGATGTCTCCGCACTGTCAGATCCAGTTCCTGAAGAGCCGGACTCCTCTGCGCCAGAGCCTCCAGTCGCCGTTGCGCTGAAGCTGCCAGACGTAGGGGTACCGTTGAAGTCGTGCTTCTGGCCCAGTGTGGGCAGGGGAGATGTGGGGTTGACTTCCCAGACCGAGGTGGTGAAGTCGGGGCAGACAACAGGCGAGTTTGTGGGGTTGTAATCCGCCGCCTTCACACCGGTGGGGTTCAACGTAGCCCAGACAGCAGAGAGGTTGGGGAAATCGGGTTCTACTGGGGTAGGTTTTCCTGTGTGCTGTTAGTCAAGGTGTCTAAGAGCAGTGTAGGATGTACGACATACCTGAGCGAGGGAAACCATCCGGTGCTTGAGCAGGGTCAACCTTGGGACCGTAGCTGATGAGACCGTAATCGTTCATCTCCTCGATCCATTCGTAGATAATGCTGCCAGACCAGACGTCGGCCATCTCTCCGAAAAGCGCCTCTTGGTCCTTGAAGTCGCGCGGCCTTGCTGTGTTGCAACCAGTCTCCGACATGAAGATGGGGATGTGCAGATCCTCGGAGTTCTTCTCAAGCTGATCATAGCCAGACTGTTGGTAGGAGCTCTGTCCGCACCAAGAGTAGGCGTTGAGACTGAAGAAGTCGAGACGCTCAGACGCATTGTCGCCGCAAGCGAGGTAGTTCTGCAGCATAGGGCGGAGACTGGCGATGTCGGCAGCAGAGTATCCTATTGGTATGCTGCGGTAGCCCTTCTCGTCGCGGTAGGCCTTCATATCGCGGGCGGCGGCCTTGATGTAGGGTGAGGTGACGGAGCCGTTTGCGGTGGTAATGGCCTCGTTGCCAATGAAGAAGCCAGCAGTGTTGTCGTACTGGTGAAATTCATCCATGACCTTGGCGAAAGCATCACGCTGGTCGGTCTCCCAACGAGGAGTGTTCTGCTCGACCTGAGTATCGAAGGTATCGAGATCGACCCAGATGTAGATTCCAGCGTCCGCAAATGTCTTCATGCATTCGGTGTGGTCGGAGTCAGGGTCGACGTGGTAGACACGGATCGAGTTGGCACCGATGGTCTTCATGAGCGCGGAGTCGAGACCACATTGCGTCGCATCGATGAGAGGGTCGTCGGGAACGAGTTGGTACGCGATACCTGGACGTGAGTGTCAGTGTGCGTCCTCATTGAGTCTTATCGTCGGACATACCCTTGACGTAGAACTGGTTGCCCTCGCTGGTGAAGAACTTGGAGCCCTTGACTTCAATGGTAGGAATAGCCGACGCGACAGCGCTCAAGCCCGCCAACAGGCTGAGCGATACCAATTGGACCATCTTGCAGTGTATCGACGAAGTGGTTTGCTTTCGATGTGGCGCGGTTGCAAGAGAAAATGTGTCGCGATAGCTGCAAGCAAATATCAGGCAAACGCACTAGCTCGCCGCAAGTGCACAGTGAACGGCAGTGGCGTCGACTAGGAACGAACGAACGAACGACTGTACAGCGCAGAAAGGAAGCGCAAACGGGCGTGAAGAACGAGACCAGCGACAACGAGAGTGAAATAGCTGAGAAGAAACAAGACGAACAACTTCTCGCGTCTCGACAAACAAACCAGCGAACCAAGCTATCGCTCCTTCCAATCTCCATCATGGCCGCTTGCCGCAAATGCATCCCGCCTTCCCTAAGCGGCGCCAGTAGCAGGGCACAAACGGCAACGAGGCCCATCATGACAGTGATAGAGGACAGGCGCCGTGGGTGCTGGTGGAGACGTGCGCCCGTGCTGCCGCCGATCGTCTGAGCGTGCCATTGGTTGGGACGCGTTAAGCCTGTTGGCGTGCAGTCTTGATGCAGCTAAGACGCGCAGAACAGGAAATCACGGTTGCTTGGTGCCTTAGCGCGGATAGCCGATTGTGGAACCGGCTACGGATAGACAGCCGAAACACCAGAATACACCCGCCCGGGATGTGACAGCTGCGGTCAATTTATGTGGCACAGAGCTGTAAGAAGTTTGTTTTTTGCGACGGGTCGATGCTATTATTATTCCCAATAATACTGCCTCCGCGATCTGCCTTCTCGTCGAGGTTGTGCTCGAGTTTATGAGCGTTATCAACGGCGACTACGACGTCGGCTTCGGTATTTCCGACTAGAAGCGACACCGCCCTGGTAAGGAACATTCGCATCAGAGCAGTGATTAGATGAATACGTTCACAAACCCAGCCTATCATCACATATAGAGATGACATATCCACATCGTTTCAAACTCCCATCAATCAGATACCGTCACCCGCCGTACTCAAGCAATAGCTTGCAAAAGCCAGTCAAATTTCCACCTGGAAAATCTTGGCGTTTCACAGTCGCTCCCCATACAGATACAAGATGAATGATACCGGGTAGGAGGCAATGGAGATGGAACCAAGAAGTGAATTCCCCCAGCCCAGGCCTAGTGTATCATACATGGCAGGGCCAGCAAGCGGAAGGAGGGCCCCGAGAAGACATCGGAAGATTGTACTTGCAGCTGTTATAGAAACAGCATGAACAGTGTATGCGTCGACGAGGTACATGGCACTCGGCATCTACTTGTTTTTAGTCATCTGGATGCTGAAAGGTCGTTGGGATGCCAGAAGGAAGTCTTACATAGTTGAAGACCATGCCCATGCCAATGAAGACCGTACCAACGATAGGCACAATCCAATGCACTCTAGCCTGCGCAGACCATCCGTACCAGAACAAGCCAATTGGCGTGCACAAGCCACCAGGTATCATGGGTGGCAGTCGGTACTCTGGCTTTGGATCACCACCGTGCTTCGCGGTCAATATCTTGGAGACGGCATTCGCAGCCACGCCACATATGACGCATCTCAGCACCGAGCCGATGCCTATGCCGAGTGTTGCCAAGCCAGCCTCGCCGCTAGAGAAACTGTACTGGCCATAGAATACGATCTCGAAAGCAGTGAAGCAGAGATAGAGATAGCTATATACGATAGCGGCGTAGAGGGAAAGCAAGAAGACGATCGGGGATAAGAGCAACTTTAGTGGACGGGTGATGGAGAAGACAAAGAGACTCCTTGGCGTCTTCTCAGTGTCTAACGCAGACCGCAGACGCAAATTGCCCGTCTCTTTTCGCAAACGCTGTGCGCTGCGTTCAAGCAGGACGTAAGGGTACGACTCGCGCACAAACAAGATAGACACCAGGGTCATGACACCGCATGCGATAGCCATGATCCAAAAGGTCCAGCGCCACCCCGCTGCTGGGGCAAGATAACCGCCAATAACGGGACCGATGGCTGGCCCCAAGACAGCACCGATGATATACGCGCCCATGGCTCCAGCACGCTTCTCCGTTGCCACCATATCGGCGATAGATCCAGTACCGAGTGTAACAGGACATGAGCCCATGGCGCCGGCCAGGAAACGATATGCGACCAAAGAGGCCAGGCTATCAGACACTGCGCATGCCACGTTGAAGACGACGAAGAAGAATCTGCAATCTTGTACAAGATAGCCCGACCGTATAGTTCTGACAGTGGCGCGATCACTAGTGGTCTGAATGTGTATCCCAGAAGGAAGATGTTCGTCACCAGGGTGCCGACGGTCTGGTTTGTGGAATTGAACTGTTTGAGAATATTCAGAGTCGCAGCGGCGTTGATGGTGGAGCCAATGGGTCTAGAAGATGTTAGGATGCTGGGCCAGTGCGTAGTATGTCACTTACGAGAGAAGGGTTATGGACGTGACGATGATTAGCTGCGTCGTTTTGTTTCCAGAAGACCAGTTCATGGGATTTCTGGGTCAGCTAGTCCTTCAAATTCGACGATACCAGGATCGTCGGGTACTGGATCGTGTATGACATTGCTGCTGTGAGCCTTTTCACCGCCATGCTTTCAGGCTGACATGTCCGACTTGTCATTGAGGGACTAGAAACGCAAAGTTAAGGGTCACGGATTCAGCTGTGATCGGCTTGGTGCGGAAAAGATACTGAGAGAGCATTCGTTATGAAACGGAGATAGTCAAGAGGTATATATCTTGTCAAAGGATCCCATTCCTCTTCCGCTCGACGCTGCTCCGCGGAAGTCGACACGCCTACTGCGGGAATATATTGCTGATCCGTATATATTGCGCAGAGGTCGTTTCGTATACTCATCTGTGTCGGTGATTCAAATAGTCAAGCATGGCGTGTCCGCGGGTATTCCTTGGACTAAGCTCAATCTGGGCTAACGCATCCGCGGCGACGGACATGCTCCTTCTCTCTTCGAACCGATCGCGGCAGGAGCAACAAGTGTGAGGCACTTTCACTGTTGAGAAAATGGCGCACTCGCCTAGAAGCTAGTGTAAGCTTTTCTTGCGTATAGATATTAACACTCATACCCTCATGCTCCACTCCAATATTCTTTCCCCTTTGCGCCCACCCCAACCCAGCCTTCACAGCCACGGCAATCGCAACACCAATGATGTCAGGTAATTCCAAGACGACATCGACCACCCTTCACCTATGGACTCTCGATCCTGTCATCCGCGAACTTCAATCATGTCCAGCTGCTCGTGCAGCAGAGTTCGCGGATCTCATAATCCCTGGCCGTATCAGTCTCCTCAGTGTTGAGAATGGCGACGCTGTCCAGAGTTCTGCTACTGTTTATGGTGCCTCCAAAGTCACTGACATTCCGGAATTGACACTGTACGAAACAGGCGCCTGTTGGCCACACCCGCGCTCACTGAGGAAGATTCTGGAGAAGCACCAGTCGTGGGTCGACGAAGCGCAATTGTATCCCCCCAGGCCCCCTCCTCTTTCTCTCCGTTTATTCGAAGGTGACGGAAGTCGGGAGAGTATAGCTCGAACGCTTGTGGAACATCTTGAGGACCAACAATTTGCACCATACGCAACGACGCTCACCTTCCGATCGCCTGTAATAGACCGATGTCTCAGACTATTTCAGGGCGAGAACGAGGCTTCGAGTACGCTCACCCGGTCATCCATCGACACCACTTCGATCATGTCCTGTGGTGCTCTCCTTCCCTTGGAGGCGTCAGCCCTGATGAGCACCAGTACCATACATGTCATCACCGGTGTGCGCGTATACATCGTGTATCCGCCTACGCCGCATAATCTGACGACGCTGAACAAGTATCTCATAGATCTTGCCGGAGATATCGCACCAAACTACGCAAGTGTATGCCATGAGTTAGAAAACGGTATTGCCTTTGTTCAGCGTGCCGGACAGGCTGTGACCATACCGCCTTGTTGCCCCACGGTGGTGTTCGCAACCAAGACCAGTGCCGCTGTTACCGTCCGTTCTCGGTGCGTGGAAGACTTGCCGTTGCGGCTAGAGCATCTTGATATCCTGATGGCTCAAATCGTATCAATACAGCTCATATGTCGGCAGACACCAGAGGAATCATTGGAGTACCACACCACGCAGCTATACAAGGACATGACGACCGTTCTTAGAGCACTGGAGCCGAGTGGTGCCAATCGCGCGCTGCTCGTAGCCTTGGGCGCTATGTGGGAAAGGGAACATTCTCGATTCCGTGGTCTTGTAGAATCTCATGTCGAAAAATCGTTGAAAGAGCATATTCGCCGGAATATTCCAAGAGTATGGAGCCTAGCTGTTCAGAACCAAGGCCTCAGGCATTGTCCTGTCTGCAAGGTGAGCATTGAAGGTCGTGGTGTGGTATTCCTCACCCACTTCCGAACAGAGCACTGGGATGCGGGCGGATCCGCTTACCCAGACAAGGACGAGTTGATATCTGTTGCGGGTGAGGGTTCGCGACAGCTCACTGGGGATGGCGACATGTGAGACGACGGCGACCACGCTGGCTCGCGTCCAATCGCCGAATGAGGTGAGCGGATCTTCATCCTCCGGTTCCGACGTCAATGGAGTATATAGTCGCAATGAACTTGTGCTATCAGTCGAGAGCACGATGCCGCTGTTGGGGGATGAACCGGATCGCGGCCCAGCTCGCTCCGGACACATTGGAGGCAGCGATGCAGATAGCTCCACAGATAGCGTCAATTAATCTGCGCAAAAACATTCATCCATCCATCGGGGCGATCTCAGAGTATGTGACTGGAGGATGTTTGACGAAGTCGAGTTCCGGAGATGAAATACTGGTGTGAAGGCGGATGGGAAGCGGAAGACTTCCGCATTAGCCCGGACTTGGTTAGCGCAAGCGAATGACGTATACAAACACCCTGGAACCACTGAAGTTGTCTGCTACCTAACTGCAGCGCATTTCCCAAACTTCTTTTCCCCACCTCATTTGATAATTGTACAGAATTTAGTGTAATGAAGTGATTGAAGATTAGGTTTGTAAGTGGGCATTATGTGCGAAACGAAAGACTTTTTATGGTACACTCAACCGCCACATATTCACAAGTCTGACCCGGTCCAACACCAGCCCGATTCTATATCCATGCCGTAACATCCCATTCAGAAACCTAACTATCCACGACAGACACAGCTTCCACCGACCTTCCCCGATGATAACTTTTGGTCTTCTCATTAAGGCCGGATGGTCAGTGGGGATGTCATCTTCTCCAAGGATACGTCAGGTCATTTCCTCGTCCCGGATATGCTGAGGCTGATATCGTCAACCGTTAGGCGTGCCAGACTTAGGATTACCGGCATCTTCTAAAGCATGAGCGCTGCTCACACGTTTCTAGCGGTACATTCCGTGCGAGCACCCCCGTGGCCCAGAGAAAGAGACCGGCGTCTCGTATAAGTATGGCGAAGAAAGAGTCGGAAGACGCGATGATCGCCGTTTCGGTGAGATTGATGTTCTTGAAACTGCTGACAAAGTGCTGGAAGAAGATGATGAAGAAGATGCCGAGCGCGTTGAGTCCAATGAGGAGCGTGGAGAGACTTCTGCTGATCGTATGGGTGTTATGTTGGACATGTCAGACAGTTCGACGGCGTCATCTTGTTCTTGCCGATGTCGACTTGATCGTGCTTCGCCTTTGCGGAAGATTTGGGGTAGTTGTAGAAGTTCTGAGAATTGGAACATGATTGCTGATGCATCCCACGATTGCGGATGACAAGCCGCCTTTTCAAGACCAGATCTCTCCTTTGTAGGACAGGGATATCAAGGAAAAGACTTCGTATCGCAGGCTAGCGTTAGAGAAAAGACAGTCAACGAAAGCGGTAACATCCCCAGCTCTAGCCTCTGGAAAGCTCTCCAGATCTTCTCCAAAATTATGTTCCTGCTAGTTCTTGTACACGCAACGACGGTGTTTTGCGCTGGATATCCCGCTTCCGTTGGACGTGTGACGTTGTGTCATGTAGCAAGCCGGCGGCAGCTACGTAGGCTATTTGGCTCAAGTCGCACGACAGAGAGCTTTCGTGGGGAAATAACATTTGCGCCAAATATATTGCCTCTTGCGACTTTTCACTGGCAAGACTGAGACGGGCTGGGCCTGCTACAATTACGCCACTAAGTGTCGTTGGGGAGATCAGGAAAAGCTCTAATTTGGGGAAGCTTGCAAGGGGCAGGAGAAGCCCGCGACGCATCGAGCAACAAACAGCGACGAAGATGACGGAAGTCTGTTCTCTGCCATGTCCCGCTCATGACATCGGAATACTGCATCTCATTGTAGGCATGATACCGCATTCCACGTGGCATCAGTCACGGGTAGAGACCGCGGCAGCTTGTCACTACCCCCAGCGGGCCGATCAAGATTGCTCAACTCGACCAGAAGAGTGCACATGAAGCGGAGGATCTACCCCAAAAGGCACTCTTGGACGCATTTTTCGATCCCGACGGAATGTTTTAATCAAGCAATATCGATGATTATCGCAATCTTGTTCGATCAAGCAGCCATATTTACGATCGATGCTATGTCGAGACTCTCGGTAGACTACGATGGGCCTTCCACTGGTCGATGAAGCAACGTACGCTATAACAAAACGCCATACCCTTAGCGACTCAGGCTACAGTAGCAAAGCTTGGACTAATAACGAGTCGTACGAACCGTGTGTAGGGGTCGTAGTGCCATATGTCTTCTCGCAGAGATAATTGGTCTATCTTTGTTCCCAGAAATTATCGAAAGCAACGCCACTGTTGCTAGCCTCAGCACCGTATACCTTTGGAACAGGAAATTTCACGGGATATCGTGGTTTGAGTGGAGATATGACGTGACCTTGGAAGGCTACGCAGTAGTATGCTATGGTTTCCTGAGAGTGTCCAGTCAACAGCAAGTCCTTCTTCGAAGCTACATCATAGTGCAACCCGTACACCACACCCGCGGCAACCGCTATGGCTCTCGAGTCCCCCTCTTCCCCGCTGAACGCTCCCGTCACTAGACCGGGTCGTCGGGATATGACTCGCTCGGATTGTCGCACGCAAGGGATACACACACCAGCATTTTTGAGAAAGCGTTGCGCAAAAGCAGTACTTCGCCACTGAAGACTCTGCATCGATGATATGGAGACATCGATCATTTCGGGCGGCTGCTGGATCGAAGACCCTTCCCCATACGAATCAATACGCGGTGGCACCTTCGCACTGCCAACGTGATACCGCATACAACTCAGACTGATCTAATATGAGCGTGGAGACGTAGGACCGATGTACCTAAGTAAGCGTCCCCAGAGCCCACCCACCTTCATCAGCAAAGACATAAAATGACGTAGAACACACCGAAACCCTCCACCACTACGAGCCGAAGGGTCACATGTGCAACCATTGATTGGATGAAAAAGTGAAAAGAACAATATGCTAGTAATACTGCCCATCTCCTCGTTGGAATTTGCGTAGAAAGCAAGAAATGAAACGCAGAAAGCAATCGCTAATTTGTATGAGGGATCTACGATCCGTAGATACCTCCAGACTGTACTTTTCCCCATCGCTCCCAGCGCATCACGCGCCTGCTTCCTGGAAATCTGCATCGGCTTCGGATTTCGTCGATTTTGCGGCAGCGCACGGATGTCTTCCTTAAACGTGTTTTTCGTTCTGCTCTTTAACGTGAATGGGCTTCTTGTCCTCGTCCACTTCCATGTTCTCGGAGACATCGGTGCTAGAGGCTTCCTGGCTCTCGGACTTGATGCTGTCTTGGCCGTCCATCTCGGTTTTGACAATCTGTCTCAATTTGACCATGGCTTGAATGATTTCAAGTGCCGTCCTATGGTTGATCTGGCTCTTGACGTGCTGCCATAATTCGATATCAAGATACCCGGCCAGGGAGTCAATGACGAGGCCCTTCAGGTCCTGGGGTGTGCTCTCGTCCTTCATAGCGTGGTTGAAGACAACGGCGACGATGTCGTCAGCGGCGGGCTTTGTGCCATATCCTATGAGCGTTTGGAAAGAGGTACCATCGGCATCGGCGCGCTCGATGCTGATGTTAGTAGCGTTGAATATCGCTGTACGGCATTGATCGGCGAGCACTTCGATCCCAATCTGTTGAGCGAGCTTCATGACAGCGTATGTCTGTTCTGTCCCCATCAACGGAAACCTTCTCTGGTACATCCACTCCATGAGCGCTCGAACCGTGGACTCTTCGACATCGGGGAGTATGATACGATGTTGGGCGGCGGCTTTCAATGGGTCACCCTTTGCCTTCTGAATTTCGGTCTTGTTGATGGCGTGAAGTCGGGCAAAGAGCAGCGAGGCTACGGTGTATACGGCCTGAGGCTTAAGAAGCTCCAAACGGCTAACTAGACTCAAGTCGGCTGCTGGCTTCTGAGGCATCTTCTTGATGTTCTTGGCGTGATGCTCTCCAGCTACTGCGTCCATGATTACCTCTTTGACGCCTTTGGAGTATCCAAATAAAGGATAGTTGTCATATGCCTTCATAATCAGAGGTTTGGCCTATAGAATGTTAGAGATAGACCATCAAAAGCGGAAGTCATGCAAGGAAGAAACTGAACAGGCCTGTAGCCTACGTCAATAAAACGTCCTTAAGTGAGGAGATGTATCGTCAACGTAGGCTTATGGTGCTCAGCTCTTCCCTTGAACAAGGTGGAGGGCCCGCTGATGCTTGCATATCTACATCCAGGGTGTATCAACAAGACATACCTGTTTATCGAAGAGACCAGTTTCGAACGCCTTCGCACTGACCTCGGGGAATACGTATTGGGCCAGCTCATCGCGGACGTTGTCGGCTTTCTCATAGTTGAGCATTGTGGGCTTCGCCTTTTCGAACATATTGCTGAGTTGCTTGCTGTGGCAGCAAATCATCTCTTGATGAAAGATGAGCTTGGTCTGGAGGTCGGGTCCGCATTCGATGGTGATGGGCGTTCGCATAAGCATTTGGGGCGGGGTGATATCGACGAGATCTGGAACGTGTGGGATCTCGATAAAGTCGTCGCTGTTATCCATTGTAGGTAGATGCATGGAGACAGTCGAGCGTTCGGCACTGGTGGTGGTATCAATCGAGGCGCGCGACGGTGTCGCTGGAGGTGTAGTAGCCTTGGAGTGATCCATCATGGAGTGACAGATATTTGCAGCTGGTGGTCGTCTGTGTGCGAGATGAGAAGAGTTGAGGAGGCAGGAGAGATGGAGGGAGAAGAGAGAGCTGACAGTGTTTTATATGCTGGGTGCAGGTGGCCGTCTGCGTGCGGGAAGAGGAGAGTTGAGAAGGTAGCAGAGAGAGAGGGAGGATGTAGACCTGGCAGTGTTTTATAAGCTGGGCGCATGTATTCGAGGTCACCGTCTCTCACCTCAAAGTAAAAGAGCCTGAGCAAAGGGTCCACCCGAAGCGGGCCTGAGATAGCAGTCACTTCGATATCACCAGGGACGGCAATCTACCAACAAGATAGGAGTGTAGAGGTGGGCGGTATTACTGACTGCTGCATCGACGATGAAGACGGTCAAGATGAGTAATGTTCAATTCTAAAAGTGGTAGCCTGCCGCAGCAGTGTCGTGACATGGTATCGATGTAGACTCCAAATCACCGCCAACTCCTTCCCATGCTGTGATCAATCATGCTTAGCCGTTCGAGGATTATACTATATCTTCCTTCGTTTGCTCGCGGTGGGCAGGTCCTCTTCTTCAACCGATGGAGTACCCTCATTTCCCGTGCGACCACTATCCCTCTCCACGTCTCTCCAAGTACTGACTAGGCCTTGAACCGTTTGGAACATGTCTCTCGCATCGTTCACCACGCCATCCTCTCCAGGGTTGAACATGACGGCGTTGACAAACATGCGCATGAGCTCCTTCTCCAGTTGCGCAGCGTTGACAATGGCCTTGGGCGGGACATTGTCAGCCGTCACAGGCAACTCTACGACGCCTCCCATGACACCACCAGGACTACCGGTTGGGTTATCTGACGCGGCTGCGGCTGCGGCGACTTGCTTTGAGCCTGTTGCTATAGCCTTCTTGATGGAAGAAAGATCTGTAGGGCGCTTGATGATGTCGTAGTATCCTTCTGCATCCTTCGCGCGAACGGCCGTATTGAATGTCGAGGCATGTTTGTGCGAGTTGATATCGTACATCATGGGTGCCGTCATGCGGGCGAAGTTCCGTGGCGCGACCAGGGTCTTGGGTGGGCCTGGAGTGCTGAAGGACGCATCGTCATTCTCTTCGAGAGACGCCTCACGGGCATTTCGTTTTCGACGTGATGAGAGTGATGAGGCCGGAGCTGCTCCCCGGCGTCGTGTGGACATGTGTGACGGTGTTCCAACAGAACCTTCCTCTTCAGTGGGGTCCACCGAGTTTCCGCGCTCTGACTTAATGCGACGACCAGCTTGCGACTCGTTATCACCTGCTACTGTATCGGTATGCGAGAGGATGGAACGGCTTCGACTCCGATCCCGCACAGAACCACCTGCGCGGGAGGAGGCTATGCTGCCGGGTCTTGTTCGTTTCGCGGGAGCTTTTCTCCGTGAGCGTCCAGACCGAGTCTCGGGCTCCAGTAAAGAGTCGTCTTCTTGATCGTGGTGCTGAGAGTTTTGTGGTGTCTCGACGTCTATCGTGGACTCTTGCTCTGCCTCTTTGCCTTTGCCCTTTGTCCGTGATTTGCGCTGCGTCTTCGCCTTTGGTGATGTCTGTTTTGGCCGAATCAGCGGCGGTACGTCGTCGAGAGGAAGCACTTCGGGGCGCGGGCTCGCAGAACTTCCAGGTGTCCCGGTAAAGCTTGATCGTTTCCAAAGACTCTTGGCTGACACCGGGGTTGCTAGAGCACTTTGCGGAGAGCGTGCATTCATCGGGGTGGAGAAAGACTGTCTCGCCTGGATGACGAGGGGATGCATCTGAGGCGCGCCTGATCTGCCGGTGCCGGTGCCGGGAGTCTGTATGTTTGCTCTGGGCTGCTGCCGATTGCTCGCAGGCGTGGAGACCTGAGGGTGGTGCGGCGGCACGGCGGCTTGATGGTGGACGCGCGAGGGGTCTTGAGGCGCAACTTGGAACGGTGGAAGCATGAAGCCTGCCTGGGGCGGTGGCTGGGCCATTTGCGGTTGTAGTGGGTGGTAGGGCTGGTGACCAGGAGGGGGATAATGCGCCCTCTGTTGTTGTCCATGGTGAACTCCGGGTGAATGAGGCCCTGGAGCTTGTTGCATGGGGAACTGCTGGTGTGGAGGGTATGGCGGTTGGGAGCCTGGTGGCCCATACTGAGGCGCGCCATTCATCGCGTAGTTCTGGCCTGGCTGGGGCTGGAACTGAGGCCCAGGAGACCCCAGCGCTGGTGACGGCGGTTGCGGGGGATGGCTGGCATTTTGGTGCGAGCCTGGCTGGGGCTGTATGTTCTGGGGGTAGTTGTAGTTGGCGTGCGGTTGCGGCGGTTGCTGGAATCGCGACGGTGCGTGCGGCTGACTTGGGTTTGGCTGCGGCGTGGAAGGCGTCCGTCGTCCGTCTGAAGAGGGATGTTGCTTCTTGCGCTGGGATGGCGAAGGGTGTCCGTTCGGGTGTGGTAGCGCGGATGCCGGCTGCTGTTGAGATGGATCTGGGGAAGGCGCGATGGCGGGCGCTCCACGTGTGCCATTCTGGACAGGCGTGGGGTTCGCATTCGGCTGCAGCGTCTTCGGGGCGAGATGCGGCGACTTCCTGGGCAGCGTAGGACTGCGCGATGACGGTGTCCGGCCGCTTGCCTTCTCACGCAGCTGGTCGTCCCACTCTCCGCGCTCGATGCCCTGGAGGTCGCGCTGCAGCCGCTCGTAGCGCTCCTCCTCTATCCGGATCTGCTCTGTGATCTCATATCGATAAGACGCGTAGAGCTTGGTGACGAGCTTCGGGATCAGGTGCTGGTGCTGCAGCGACTCCTGCACCGTCGGCAGACTTGGGCTATGCCTCTTTCTCTTGGCCGGATTCGTGACTTCGCCGTTCGGGCCATCGCTGTCGCCGCCCTGCTCGTGCTCGAGCTCCCGCTTCAGACGCTCCAGGTAGAAGCTGCGCAGCGCATCGGGGCTGAGGCGGCCGGGCTGGAAGTACTTGTGGGCGGCCACGTCGGGGTGCTTCTTCAGCAGGTCGGAGATGCGCCCGAAGACAGACGGGGCGACGCCGTAGGCATGCAGGCACTGGAACAGCAGCAGCGACTCGAGGTTGGTGTAGGCGGAGCCGCTAGTATTCATCCCCCAGGCGTGTGCAGCGCGAGGGCGATGGGCCTGGGGCGGAAGGGGAGCCACGGCTGCGGGCGCGGGCGCGGTGGGCGGAGAGGCTGCTACGGCAGGCAGACGGGCATCGCATGCGAGAGTCGTGATGGGCGCGGCGGGCGGGGAAATTGAGCGAGATGGACGGGGGCTTGGTGGTGTCGAGGGAGATTGTCGCAATGTCGCAAATTGTCGTCGGGGTTTCGCAGCCCAGCCGCCTGAAGCCCCCATCGGGCGCCCCCGGCCAGGGCCAATCAGGCGCGTCCGGCCTCACGTCGCCTCACGCGAGCGCGGGGCCAGAACCAGACCTGACAGCGGGCCCTGATGTACTGCGATACTTTGGGATAGGTAGCTTTATAGCCCTATATGCCTCTACATCCTGCTGCACCCGCACCTACAACTTCCTGTGGTTGTCGTTGTGCCCGTATCGTCGGCCATTCTTCGTCGGGCACTCGGGAGCGGCGCTCAAACTATCATTGATCCCTCGCTCCTCCAAGCTCCACCTCCGATCTACGCCCAAATTAGCTTGGGGCATAGGCGTCCCCTTTTCCTAACATTACAATCGTCCTTCCCTCTCTATTCCAGGGTCGCCATATTATGCTCCCTCCCCTCCACCCCAGGTCTGGCTGAGTTGCATGAAACATCTTTGATCCGCTGAGCCACTTGCCCATATTTGTCTACTCTTGCACCAGCCCATAAATATATCCACCGTCCCCGAGCCTCCCCACGCCGCCTGCTTCTTGCATAACCCGCTCCTGCTCCCCATCCCATCACCATGACTTCCTCGTACCCTGCACACTCGGCCACCATGGACGACCCAGACCAAGGCTGGAAGCCAAACAACCGCCCTCAATCGTGAGCTCTCCCGGCGCTAGGCATAGCTCCCGCCTGTCTGAGACTGACCACGCCTGCAGCACCCTAGCCCGCAACTTCATGTCGGAGCTCGACAGCCTGTTCAACTTGGACGAAGGTCTCGCGAACCTGGACAAGACGGTCCTGGAGAAGTACGGCCCGCCCTCTTCACCGCTACTTGGAGCCCGCTGACAGGCGCGCAGGAAGCAGGCAGTCACGACCCAGACCAAGGAGCTCGAGGCCCTCGAGGCCAGGCTCAAGGCCGCCGAAGAGCGCCTCAACCAGGCAAAGAGCAACTCGCCCCCAGCCAAGAACGACACCCAGAGCGAACAAGACGCCGCTCGGTCACAAGGGGCCGCCAGCCCCCTTGCCGCAAAGTCCCAAAACATGCCAGGTGCGCTACCAGAGACACCGACTCCTACTTCGACTACCAGTGCTGACTATGTCCTGGTAGAGAGGCCACTGTCCGCCAAGCCTGAGACCTCATAGTTCTACCTCTTCATACGATACCACGATACCCCGGCATTGCGCCCACATCCATGTACACTGCTTGATCTCTGCGGTTGGGAGACTGCATCTTGGAAAGGGGCATATACTTTATAATCGACGATGGCATTTTCACTTCTGGTTGGCGACATCTGTTGGTGCTGCATGTCTTTCTTTGGATGGGTTAGCTGCAAATGCTACATAAACTTCATCTTCTCTTTCCGTTTCCTTTGTGGTGTTCTGCTCAGTCCGGCTATACGGCACTAACTCCGTAGCTTCGAGCACAGGCCTTGTACCTCGTTGCTCCACGCGCTCGACTCACCACCTGGGCAACAACTCAGCGAACAGTCAGCAGCTCAACATGGACAACGTCACCGAGACAGTGCTGACCGAATCATTCGATAAGCTCGTCTCTGAAGGTGTCATTGTCTACGGCCCCAATGAGTCTATCAAATTCGATCACGAAGGCTTCCCGGTAAGCTAGTCCAGCAACGGCAACAGTCACACCAGTCCTTACTCACACCTTGGCCAGATAGAGTTCCGGATCTGCCCAGCACTAGCAAC